TAAGGCTGCCTTGTGTGAACTCCTGGAGAATTATTTATGGTTCAATATCCCAATCAGAATGTGATTCTGTCCAGAGTATTTGCATCAAATTTTCCCAAAAGATGAGTTCTTTCAATGTGCAGAATGTTTTTTCAATAAATTTGCCAGTCTACATTTTTGCGAAAATATCGTTTTTTGGTAATTTGTAAATACCAACTTTTGTTTGTTAATCTTTTCACCCAAATGTTACCTTTTGCCTAATTAAACTAACCTATTTCCCTTTTTCTTCCCTTTCACTGTTATGGCCTTTCCCCCTTGTCATCCTGTTATTTTTAATGACAATTTTCATCTATAATTTCTATGTTTTCGTCACTCTCAAAGCATTTCATGAAATCAAAAATCTCCTTTTCCACTTCATTCTACTGTTCTAATTTTCTCATCTTTGAGATCCTGCTAGTGGAATTTATGCTCTTATTAAGGTATGCTGTTTGTAGGAAGCAATCATTAGAAAATTCCATGGGCTCAACAGCTCAATGTCTCCCTTTTTGCTGAGTCCTAAGATTCGCAAGGCAGGGGTGCTCATTCCACAAGGACCTATACACTGTTTCCTCAGACTAGGACATTGCTTTGAAACTGTTAAAGAGACCATGTTTTTACACTTTGCCCCATTATACCACTTTCCCTTCCAGAATCATTTCTACTATCCTTTAGTCATGGGAACGATGTAAAGTGCTCAGTTTGCTTCTCTACAGAATGCTAGTATTATTAGGAAGCTGTCAACTAGCCAGTAGAATTCTAAGAAGGCCGAGTTCTGACCAAATCCCCCTGTTTCCAGAGTTTTGCATGACTATTTATTTTAAAGACATGTCGCATATTATTTTATTCACACAATTATTGATGAATACCTTGACAGGCAAGTGTGTTTGTTGGCTAGGTGATACTTTTAAGAGGCCCCCTTCAGTACCCATCAGTGATGAGAAACTGTGTGGCACATTTTTGCATCTCTCACTGCTAATTCAAAATCACCATGTGGAATAATTTTGAATTCAGAATTGAGAACTCTTTCAGACTTCTGAGGGGATTTACAGAATTTTCTTTACTGAATGGATGCCTGTGCACACTTCAGAAATCTGAAACATTTATCTTGTCCCTGTTTCCAATGGAACTATTTGTAACTAATTTTTTTATTGATACCTATCAAGTACCCTAATTGATAATAGACATGCATGAAAAACTTCCAAGTTAGAGAATGGCAAAATAGTAATTACAGGTAATACTAGGAGTAATTCTTACAGAAGAGTAGTTTTCACAGACATTTCCATAATTAGATTCTGTGTCTCAGGAAGATATAATTGACTACCGAATCTAAAATGCCTCCTTCCTCTTAAAACCACATATCCAAGAGCAAAAAAAAAAAAAATCTGAAAAGCTGAAGATGCACTTTAATTTAAAAAAAAATCATCACTTAGATTTAAATGCTTTACTTTTATATCCTAAAATAAGAATGCATACTAAAAATACATTTTTTCTTTAATTATATCTCACATCAATTTGATTGTGAACTTGAGGCAGTTCCTTCATGACTGGTCCACACTATATGAATAGCTCTGCTACCCAATGTGTTAGGCAATAAGCCTGGCAACAGCAAAACATTCCTGGTTCTGCCAGCTCCTCTGAGACTTGAATCAATATTTGTGCATGTCCTGCACATGTCACGAAAGTGGAAATGTACCTGGCCTAATGTATCACTCATGGCTTTCAAAATTCAGTATTAAAGAACGTTTAAACTAAGATATTAGCAGACCAAATTATAAAAGTATGTGTGTGTGTGTATGTGTGTGTGCATACCATCTTAACCCTACATAGTGTCTAGCCTACCTGTCAGTTTCAGAAAAACATGCAACCATAGAGAACAGGTGAAATCCAATCCTATATAAAGACCTCCAAACAAAAACCAAGTACATTAATTCATAAAATCCATTATAACTACAAGGGGTGTCCAGAGAAATTGCTAATGACAATTGAAAGATTAAGATGGCTCAGTGGTTAAGAACACTGACTGCACTTGCAGAGGACCTGGGTTCAATTCCCAGCACCCACATCATGGCTAAGATCCACCTGTAACTCCAGTTCCAGGGGATTCAACGCTGTCTTCTGATCTCTATGGGCATTGTACTACATGGGTGCATTTTACATACATGCAGGAAATACACTCATACACATAAAATAAAAATAATTTAAAAATTACAAAAAAAATAATTAATCTCAATAAATATGTCATTGGTGTTTCACAGTTTGAGTATATCCTCAGCAACATCTTTGTCTTTGATTATTATATAGACACTTTCATACTAAGCTACTGTGATATACAGTCATAATTTACATATAGAAATGACTTTAGTCTCATTAAAATGATACCCGAAGAAATAGCTAAATTTTGATAATTAAAGAAATGGATTATGGAATAATCTAGCTTACCTGTAACTCATTTCCTTAAGTTACATACAATCTAATTCATACAGTTTCTTCAGCAAAACTGGAGTGCCAGGACGCTCAGTTCCTTCACTAGAATAATAATATCAGCAAGCACACATTTTGCAGATAGGCTGACATATGTGAGCCTCACAAGAATGTTAAGACACAAGCATGAACACATCATCAGCCATCAGTTCAAAAATGAGCAAACCAGCTACACAGTTGGCTGGCAGCAGAGCTCACAGCACCAGATCTCTTTACCCCTTTGCTCTACCTGTCTTTTCTATCATAGTCAAACACATCCATTTCCTACTCTGAGAACCACAACCAGGCCACTGGTCCAAGACAGATGTGATCAAACTGTGTAGCTAAATCAAGACCCCTAATTGTAATGAGTCCAAGGGCAAACCATGCTGGGGATGGTTTATGGCTTTACTCAGCCTCTTCCTAACTCCACAACAGCAGCAAGTATCAGTTTGCTAAAGGGGCAACAGCCATTGTGGGGGTGGGTGTACACCTGATGTTTATGATGCTTCCCTCACAACTAGAACAGAAACCTCAGGGGTAGAATCCAGGCACCTTATTTGGAAAACTGTACTTGGTGACTCCATGTTGGAGAACTAATGCCCCATAGAAAGGACATGAAAAAGATTACATAATTAAATTTAAGGTGATGTTTATGAAATGAAGTCAAATATCACAGGACACCACAGGAAGGATGCAACTTATGTTTCAAATTTTAAAACTAAGTACAACTTAAAAATTCCCATTTACGTCAGACAGACCCATGAGTTGATGTCAGCCTGTGCTACTTTTCATATTAGAAGCTAATGCTTGAATGTTGCTTCAGGTTGACTGGTCATGGCATGGGCAATCTCAAGTGCTTTCCTGTTTGAAAATACTTTGCTCTACATAAAAATCATTAAATCTCAGGGAAATGAGGATCTCACTGAGGATGAGAATAAAGTTGTCATCTACAGTTATCAGTCATGGAAAAAAGAGTAAAGCTTGCTAACACACCTGTAGCCAGCCCGTGTCGGCTACCAGCTGCTACTTGGAAGGCAAGCTGTGTTTCTATTCTCTGAAAGAAATCTAACAACTGGAAACAGAGGTGAAGAGTAAAAGGATATTGTGAAATGCTGAAAAGATAGCTAAAGTAGTTATTTCCAAAGAGTTTATCAATATTTCAGAAATGAAATGCCAATCACCAGTTTCACCCCAAGTCCTTGTCAGCTTTTAGCCACAATAAGCGACAGATGTTTAGTAGTTTTACTTCTGTTAAACACACTACTCATGAATACAATTCCTGTTACTTTAGTGCATAATACAGAATTCTACAAAACCGACATTTGCTGTGATGCTACGAAAATATTGGGTAAACAGAAGGATCTTAAAACCATTATGACTAATAGACGTTTAAGGAAAACTTGCTTCAAACAAGACCTGCAGTTGGGAAGGTTGCTAGGGCCAAAGCAGACTTCATGCCAACCTGTGGAATATTTCTTTCCTATCCAAGTACACAAAGTAAAAGCCGCTTTATGTGTCACTCTTATCAAGCGATCTCAGCAATAAGCATGATGAAGCAGACGTAGAAGCTCCAAGAAAGAACTTTAAACCAATTCATGTTGCAGTGTTCAGAAAAGGACAGAAGCAAGGTACCAAAAGTTTTATGAGCTGGTTATAGGAAACAAATACCAAAAGCAATAATAAAGTAAAGGAGACTGCCTGAAGAGTATAAAATTTGAACCGATGTAAATTATATGAAATATTAACAGATGTAGACAGAGAGGGCAAGCTCCGTCTTTTACCCTCTCACCAGCCCATTTCTGAGGACGCAGGCTCATACACCCAACAGCTACACACTGGAATCTGTTGCGGTTATCCATTAAAACATTGCACCTGCTTCTAATGAATTTACATGTGTGTGTGTGCCACTGCATCTGCCTGGCAATGCTAGTCTTCCCAAATGTTTGGGGGGGGTGTAAAATAAGCATCTGGTCCTAATAATTCTATTTCATCCTAAACAGATTCACATTGGGCTGAGGAGAGAACAGGGAAAGAATAAAACTACCCGAAAACTCTACAGCAAACATTTCAGAAGTAGATCTGTAAACAGATGTGATTCTCTGTATGCACACTGTACCTGTAACATCATCTGGCTGACTGAAGCTGCATTTTGAACTGAAGCCCCAATATGAACTTACCTGATTTTTTAAAGTCCCACTAGCATATGTTTACAATGTGTCTTTTCAATCTAGTTGCATAGTAAGGCAAAACACCCTCGATTTACTTATCTCCCTGTCATCTTTCATCAGAAGCAATACTTTGCAGTTTCATTCAGAAACAGCCTTCCTAAGCACACTCAGAACATGCACAGAAATAGTAATGGAAGGAATCTAAGTTAAAGCCTCCAGCGGCACCAAGAAAACATCAATATCAAACCGAAAGGCAGCAATTCCTTAAGCTCTTAAGCGATGTGCTTGCCTTAGCTGCAATTCCCAGCCAGCACCCCTTTTCAAACATAAACACTCTAGTTATGATCTTACCTGAGCTGATCATGCTGTGCATTCTCTGCTGAGCCAAGAGCTGCTCCCGTCCGGCCACCCCATCTGAGGAAAAATAGGAGTCACTCTCGTAAATTGTCTGCAGCATACTCTAGTCACTCTTAGCTCCATGAAAGATTCATCACTACTCAGTGCACTGGTCCCAGGAGCTACCCTGGCCAGTCCTCCCTCCTCCCGGAGGAGAAGCAGCAGGCAGAGGATAAACTTCCACAATGATTTCTTTTCTGCTCAGATGGACACACACTTTTAAAAAAGACCTGGACACTTTCCCCACATTACCAACCTGTGTGCAAAGCAGAAAGGGCTGTGGATGCTAGAGCTCGCCGGAGTTTTAGGTTATCCCGGAAACTAAAAGCAGGTGGGCAACAGGAATGTGCTTCGGGATTATTTCTTTGTCAGAACAAGTAGAAAGATACTAACTCTACCCAAGAGAAAAAGAAGCCAATTAAACCTGGTGTCTAGCTCTTCGGACTGCTACGGTTTCATGGCAAGAGCCCTCAGCCCTGCAAGTGGCTCCAGCAGAAGTCCTCCGCCTATCTGTTTGTGTGTCTCTTCCCTTCTCAGTCTCTCTGGGCTCAAGCTGGCTAAAGCTAGTGATAATCCATTTGCATATGAATCAACAACAGCATGGCCCACAGGCACAGAAATAGAACAATGGTCGGCCTGAGCCAAAAATAGGTCAAGCATGGCCGAGTGATTGGAGCCTGAATTAATGCATTTAAAAATACCCCAGCAAACCCAGCTGTCCAGCCTCTATCTTTCAAACCATAATTCTCTATTGCAGGGCCTTAAAAGCAATTAACTCTTTCCTTCCTCAGCTTGCTTTAGACACCGAGTTTCCATACTGGGGATGCGTATCCAAAGAAGGGAAATCAAGAGAAAAAAAATTAAGAATCATAACTCAAAGAGGGCAAATGCACACACATTTCACTTCATTTTTATTTTTGTAGTATGTGTTTTTGGAAGAGAGAGCAGAGAAGTGCAGAGCTCTGTATTGGTTCTAAAATAATACTGGAAGCTTTTGCTCATAATGTGGTTTCTGCCTCACCCACGCACAGCAATCCTGGTGTTCTATTTTTGTTCGTTTCTCTGGCTACACTGCAGTTGGCTGTAGCACTAGGTTTTCTGCCTTCTAGTTTCAGCACTGACAGGAGACTTAGCAGAGGTAGTTTTGGGAAAACAAGCACACACCAGAATAAAAATTTTATGAAAGGTTGGCTTGATTCTTTTTTCACTTGCTATTTATGTGAAGCAATTGTCCATTCCACAAATGTAATATTAGGGCCCCCATCGATTTTATTGTTTCAGGTCTTGCTAGACTTAAAAACAAAACTGGGGCTTAGAACTGAAATGTTTTATTTTCTTTCAGTCTCTGGAGCTAAGTCCAATTATTTGTAAAATAGAATTGATACTTTCTTATGATGCATGATTACTGAATATCTGCACTGGTCATTAAATGAATCAGCATGTTTACTACCCAAATACAAATGATCAGCACCCATCTATATCCTGAGTGGATGAAACACATACCTCAGTTCTGTATAAAAAGACCATTTATAATGTCAATAGAATCCCAGACCAACACATACTACACAAATCACCTATAAAGTAAATGCATAACTCTAGATAGTAAAGAAGGCTCTACGGTCTCTGGTATGCGTTTATAAATTACATCTTTGCTCGACAAGAAATAAATGCTGCATCCCAAAATGGGATACCAGCATCTAACCACTCCCAAAGACAAATACAAAAGTAGTACCCTGTTGGTCATGCAAGTTCTCCTTCCTTTTCTAAACTACCTCAGCAATTAGCATCAGCATCAGTAGCAATAGCAAAGGGAGGGGAAAGCTACTGTTGTAAAATCCCTAGACCAATCAGATGGAGGAGGGATCTCCTCAGCAGCAGGCTGAAGTAACTAAGAAAAGCCAGGGGTGCGCAAACTCTGCAAAAAGAAAGATACATATTCCAACTCATTGCAGAATTCTTTCCTTCTGCAGAGTACTTTCTATTATTCCACTTCTTGAAAAGCCATATTTGGACAGATAACATACAAGAGTTATTAAAGAGAAGTTATTCCATATTCCATTTGGATCTCAAACAACAAAATCTTATGTTTCTATCAGTGGAAAATAGGTATTATTATATTTGAGATTACAACCAGATGTTTGATTAACAAATATGTACATAAAACTAAAGGGATGGAAATATCATCATCTAATTGAGGATGACATTTTCATAAAGATCACACATTGCAATTTAGGTCTAAGATGAAACAGGTTGTTCACAATGGGTAAGTGGGAGCTGCTTCAGTTTCTTCCACAAAAGGTTCCTCCCCAACGCCCAACCCAGGCAGCTTCCCTCTAATTTGTTTACATTTAGGGATACAAGATTTTTTACTTTTATTATTTTTTTCATTCGTCTAAGACAAATTTTATGAACATATTTTTTTCAATTGTAGTATATTTTAGAAATCAAAATAGAACCAGCAGTGTTGAAGAGCCTATCAAAGTGGGGAAATTCTTTGCTAATACATCTATCAGGGATTAATATCTATAAAAAACTCCAAAAGTTAAAGACCAATGAAACAAATAATCCATCATTAAATGGACCAATAAATGAAATAGACAGTTCTCAAAGGAACAAATAAAAATAGCCAATAAATCCTCAAAAAAAAAGTGTTCAACATCCATAGTCACCAGGGAAATACAAATTTAAGCTGTTTTGATTCCATCTCACTCCAATCAAAATGGTTATCATCAAGTGTAAAAAAGAACTCAAACAACAAATGCTAATAAGACTGTGTAGAAAAAGGAACCCTTATACCTCTCTGCTGGGATGTAAACTAGTGTGGCCAATATGGAAATCAGTGTGGAATCAATATGGAAATCCGCAGAATAATAAAAATAGAACTCTCACTTGATCTACCTCTACCATTCTTGGGTATGACTGGAAGGATTCTAAATCAGGATGTCTGCACAGCCATGCACTGTTTGAATATACAATCAGCCCAATGGGCCCAACAACATATGGGTGAACTAGAAGAGAGCATGGTACCCATACACAATAGAATGTATTCAGCCAGGAAGAATGGAATTGTGACATTTTCAGGAGAATTGATGGATCTACAGATAATTATCTTAAGCAAAGTAAGTCAGACTCAGAAAGGCAAATGTCACATTTTCCTCACATGCAGAATGTTGATTTAAATGTATATATGTAGGACACATGTATATATACACATTTTATATATGTAGGACATCAAAATAGAAAGGGAACTGGGAGAGGGGAGGAAGAGATCTAAAGAGGAGAGGGGCAAACAAGAAGGTAACACACTATATAGTACATGTCATGAAAGCAGAGGGGAATCATTGGAGGAAGGAAGAGAAACATTAAGGGAGGGCACTTTGGGGATAACAACACATACGAAGATGTCACAAGGAAAGCTGTTTCTTTGCCAACCAATATTTGTAAAATATACTGTACATATGAGTTACATATTCATGATTTTGATCAATAGATACATTAAAATCTCACTATAGTCAAGCTACCTTTCTACCCATCACTACTTTCTTTGTCTCTATGTCTTTGCAATGGAATCATTGTGCCTAAGGACACTTGTTCAAGGCAATTAACTGCAGCACTCTAGTGCTCTGTTCGACAGTGCCACCATCTTGCCCCTAAACCAAATGGTACAGATAGTTAGTTAACTTTCAGAAGAAAGTTTGATATGAACTAGAATAATTGTCTACTTCTTTCAGAGTATTTTTAACAGAATATACAAAAATTGTGTAAAATATGTAAGACAGATAACAAAAATCATAATATTGGCATAATAGACGCCTAGACATCTTTCGTCACTTCATGCTTAATTACACCCACAGACCACAATTGACAAAAAAGATCTCTAAGCTTTTATAAGCAAAAATAGAATACAACTCCAAAATAGCACATAATTATCCTATTTCTCTAAGGTTCCAGGGAGGAGCACTCCAATGGGTCTTCTTCATTTTTGACAAGGTTTTTGCATTTCACCCGTTCATTCTTTTAGCATTTTCTCATTAGCATTTTCCTGTCTTTCATTTAAATCTTGACAACAAAAATTATGGTTCTGTGAAAATGTACTAAGCCCATCATAAAACAGATCAATTCGTTGCCTGGAAGGAAAATAAGCAAGTTCAAAACAATCACCCAGGATATTGTCTGCCAGTTTCATGAGCCAAGAGACTCCACTGTGATAAGGTCAATAGTTCTCACACGGTCTCCAGAATTCAGGGGAGGAAATGCAACCATGTCCTTATGGACATTTATGACACCAGTGCTTCTGATTTTGAAAGCACATTTACTTTAATAAGAACCTGAACAAACTAATGCAAACATCAAAGAATAAGGGTAGTTTTTAAACTCTCAATAGAATAAACTATAACTCAATTTAATAAGCACTTTTGAAAATGAACTAAGTATCACACTTTACTATCACACAGATTTGAAGAAGTGAAATAATAAGAGCTAAAATTTCTAGATTTCCAAATATTGGATAATGGGAATCAAATACTATTATCAAATGCTGTTCAAAAACTATGACAGTTCCAAATCTTTTTATGAAAATATATACAAAAACCAATGAAATGCCTCTAAAGGCATAATCTAGCACTGAGTGTTACTCTAGCATACACAAGACCCTAGATTTTCATTCAGCACTATAAAATAAAAGTAAATAAAATAAGTAAATAAATAACCTATCGGAGAAATGTTTTCTACGTCCATCTTGTTATGATATTTCTCAAATCAGTCTAATGACATTGGAGTCCATGCTCTAGACAAGCAAGGGAAGGTATTTAATATCTTTGACCTCCCACATAATGTTTCTCTGCACTCAGGGAGGCTTTCCATGGGGCACTGAATGCTTTGATTCTAGAATCGAAGGATTCAAACTTGTTTCCCTGAAATATCAAATTGTGTTTTCTCAGGATTTTATAAATTCTTGGGTGATATCTGTTGCCCTCCATCTGCTCCTCATCCCTTACATCCCTTCCATGCCAGCCCCA